ATAGGGCCGGGGGTGGGGGGGCTGTGTAGGGCCTGGTACCCCCCAAGTGGGGTCTGTATAATGTCCGGGGGGGGTATAGAAGCCTCTATAGGGCCTGTGGACCTCCTCAGGGTACCTACAGGGGCCATATAGTGCCTGGTTGTCCCCCCTCCAGCCTCCCTGGGGGAGTCCATACATCTATAGTGGGTCTGTATAATGCCTGGGGGGGCTATAGCAGCCAGGGGTCTATAGAGCACTCAGTGGGACCCTATAGCACCTGGGAGGGTCCTTATAGCTCCTGGGAGGGCCCTATAGGGCCTGGGAGGGTCCCTATGGTATGTGGGGGGTCTCTATAGCACCCAAAGATCTGTAGGGCACCTTGGAAGAGCCCCTATAAGGTCTGGGAGTGTCTGTATAGTGCTGGGAGATCCCTATAGCTCCCAGGGGCCCCTATAGCCCCTATAGAGTCCAGTGTTGCCTCTAAATACCTATGGGGACCCCCTACAGCCTCCCTAGGGCCCCTAAATACCCCCTGAGAACGCCTGTAGACCCTCAGAACCCCTAAATATCCTCAGGGACCCCTTATAGACCCCCCCCAGGGCCCCTAAATACCCTCAGGGATGCCCTATAGCCCACCCAGGGCCCATAAGTAACCCGTGGGACCCATTATAGCTCCCACAGGGCCCCTAAATACCTACAGGGAACCCCTATAGACCCCACAGGGCCCCTGAATACCCCTTGGGAACCTCTGTATACCTCCAGGGCCCCTAAACAATCTCAGGGACCCCCTATAGACCCCCAGAGCCCCTAAATACCCCCTGGGAACCCCTATAGACCACCTAGGCCCCTAAATGCCCCTTGAGAACCCCTATAGCCACCTCAGGACCCCTAAACACCCTTGGGACCCCTAAATATCATCACAGATCCCCATAGCCTATCCATGGCCCCTAAATATCCTCCTAGGCCCCTAAATGCCCCTTGAGAACCCCTATAGCCACCTCAGGACCCCTAAACACCCTTGGGACCCCTAAATATCATCACAGATCCCCATAGCCTATCCATGGCCCCTAAATATCCTCAGAGACCCCCTATAGCCCACCCAGGGCCCCTAAATAACCCCTAAGAACGCCTATAGATCCGTAGGGTGGCCCTAACCCTGGAGAACTCCCTATAGATCCCCAGAGCCCCTAAATACCCCCTGGGATCCCCTATAGCCCCCCCTGAGCCCCTAAATAACCCCTGGGATCCCCTAGAGCCCTCAAATACCCCCTAGGATCCCCTATAGATCCCTCACAGCCTCTAAACA